CCACGGGTGGCGGTTGGTCAAGGAGGGGGGTAAGCTTGCCTGCAAATCGAGGCGTCTCTGGTGGAGGGGGCGGACGAGAAGAGGAGAGGAGGCAAAGGAGACGACCAACGCACTGGTGCTGCCTTGTTGCAGCGCCCCCCCAAAACACACACATGCTCTCTCCGCCTGCAGGTTGCTGCTGCCACTACTAGGTGCGCCCCACGCAGTCAAGACTTGAGTCGTCTCGTGTCCCCCCTGTTGGGGCGTGCGCGCGTTTTACTGATCTGCCCCCACCTGCCCGTCGTAGCCGTGTGGCAGCAGCATGACCAGCGCAGACTGCTGCCCCCACTTCTGCTCCCCGCTGGTCACAAACTGGTCGATAATCACCTGGCCAGGAGGGAGTGTGTGTGAGCGTGTGCGTGTGTGTGTGTGTGTGTGTGTGTGTGTGTGTGTGTGTGTGTGTGTGTGTGTGTGTGTGTGCGCGCGCGCGTGCGTGCATGCGTGTGTGCGGCAGGGACAGGGCAGGAAGTGCGAGCGCCTGCAGAACATGCCCCCTGCAGCCGGGCACGCGGTCATTGTGTCCAAAAGACCCCCTTTTGTGGGGGTTGTCTATATTGCACCGATTATGCAATCAGGCCGCCTCCGGGTGCGGTTTTGTGCTCAGGGTCGCCCGCCCACCTGCGCATTGTTGGCAAAGTCCCCAAACTGCGCCTCCCACAGCACCAGGGACGTGTCCCGCGCGATAATGGAGTAGCTGGGGGCGGGAGCAGGGGCGGTTGATGCGGGGTGTCATGGTTGGTGAAATTGTGGTGGCTATGCGGTTGCTGAGTCGGTGCACCCAGGGTGATGTGGGTGGGGGATGTGGGTGGTAAAGGGGATGCTGCGAGGGGATGCGTAAGACCGTGAGCGCACCGCGCAGCAGCAAGGGGCGGGCTCGTCGGCAGGGGTGGGCGGGGTGATCAACGTGCAAACCAGCGTCGAGGGTGCTGCAGACGCACAAAAAGAGGCACCAAGAGGCGCCCTGGGACACACAAATGCTCCTGCAAGCAAGGGCCCAACCCGCCTCCACCCCCACACAGAGGGGCCCCCCACCCC